AAATTCACAAACCGGCAGAAAAATGCAAGTTTCTTCACTTTGATTATTTTGACAAGAGCCTGATTTCACCACGCTGCCTCACAATTGTTAATATTTAGATTTCAAGAAATTCTAGCGCCATTTTCTTCAGATTTGTGCGCAGATTACAAACATGTAATTAGTTCATAGATAGCGTGGATAGTTTTGAGTTTTTAGCTTCTGAAAATGGTCTTTCACATGCCTGGCTTCACTCTAATCTGCCATTTATATGATAACGTAACTAATAATAATTCCCCAAACTGAATATGTTTAATCTTTGATTGAAATATTTGGAGAAAAGGAGAAAAAAAAACCAAGTAAAAGTCACTTTGTCGTAGATTTATGTGCTAAGAAGTAATGTGCAGCCTTAAAACACATACACTACTACATCATAAATAACACATAAGAGGTACAAGCGTGTTGTGTGCGCAAGTCTCACCGCTTTCATGTAGTTCAATAAGCTGTTTCCATATCTCCAGGTGTGCACTTTGTCACAAGGCAGGCTAATGGTATTCACCTCCTGGGCTTCTGACAAGGAGTGCAGAGCCTTTGCGAAGAGAACATAGGCGTCGTAGGCTAAAGCAGTCTCGGTCTGTGGAATGGCCATCATGATAGAGTTAGAGACTGATTGGTAGCTTATCCTTGACCTGGACCACCCCTTTTATTTATATATAGGTTAAATATATAAGACATTTAAATGCTGTTATCTAATTTTATCTAATGTGTTCTTAAAGTGCACTTTTAAATGTAAGAGGGGGATGGAGAACAACAACCGCCAATATCTGCTCCAGAAAAGACACTTGATGCTAATGATTGTGATGATGATGATTTGATATTGTTGTAATGATGATGATGATGATGATGATGATGATGATGATGATCTTGATGTTGTTCTTAATGATGACAATGATGATGATGATGAAATTGTACTAAGTTTTAGAGAGATCTGTGTTTAAGATTGCATATATTTGAAGTGGTTGAAACGGACAACTTATGGAGAAATTCGGGAGAGATTTAGTTCCTAAATATATATATAGTAAACTTATGAAAGCCGAACATCGCATTGTCAGCTTCGTTCCTTGCATCTGAAAGAAAAATATGTAAGTCCCAAGTCCCTTTCTCACATTGCAAAGCAAAACGTTACATCCTATTTATAAGTCCACTTTGCTCTGTAGGCATAGCTTTGATATGCAGTATCAACACTACAGAAGGTTACTACTACGTCAGTAAACAGTTCAAGACCGAATATGGAAGCTAATGGGCGAGGGTTGAATCCCCATTGGGACAGTTTAATTTATAGAAGAATGTAAAAAGTGTACTAGTTCTTCCACAACTTGGTCGCTTTTTCCATTTCGCGTTGGCTCATCACGTCATTGTAAAGTAGCAACAAAAATAGTCTCTTAAGTAAGAGCTCGAAGCACATACAAGTGGGCAATATTTACAAACAACAAAAATAAAAAGAAGAAAAAACAAAGTATTGTCAAGAACCAGGGAAAATTATCTGGGCACAGAAGGCCTTTCTGAGTTAAACACTATTAGATACGGACTAGAAACAACAAATTAATGACATTGCATTCAGAATTCATCAGTACAGAGGTAACCTAAAATCTTCTACCTAATCGTATACGATCTTGGAACAAAGAGTCTGATTACGCTTGCGAAAATTTTAACTATTTTAATGAAAGAAGAAATTGGAACTACGCAAACTTGAGAAGGAGAGTGCCAAATAAATAGACCTAGGCATATAGATAAATCTGTCATACGGAACTTTGTAATTTTATGGTAGCGATTATATGACAGCACGTGTCGCACTATTTTTAGGGGTGATGTATCCTGTACGCAAAGAGTTGGAGCAAAAAATAAGTTCTGTAATATTTCTTTTTTTTATTGAAACGATATAAACATTTTTTTCTAAACGCCTTTTGGCGACCTCTGCAAAAAATGCTCGCCCTCTTTTCAATCACAATTCTAAAAATAGTGATCTATCTTGCACTAGTTCATATGCGGTTATATCAATCACAAGTTACCAATGTTAACCAACACAGTATATTTTTTTAATGTGAAAAAACAATTTTTAAAAATCGGCATCATATCGTAAAGCAAAAAATATAACGGATGCCGCAAAATGAGTAATTAGTAATAGGTGGAAATGTTGATATATACTTTTGTCAAAATAAAGATGAGCTTGTACAAACGTCGTTTATAAAAAGAATATTAATAAATGAGAATAAATATTCATTATGAAAGTTGAAAACAAAATAAAAGCAGTCGAGACAAATGACATCGTAAGTGAAACTGTGATTTTTAAAAAATATGATTTGATAGACATGTGTTTTGAAAATATTTTCATAAAGCATCAATCACTATTCACTCTGCATGATGTGATGTATAATCCTTTGAGCCTAAAGAAATTAACAAGAACAGAGTAAAGCGTTTATTTGTGAAACGTTACATTGCTTTAACAGGAATGTAAAAAAAAAAAAAAAAAAAAACCCAAATGAAATGAAAACATGCGAATGAAACGTTCGTACATGAATAGTTGAACAAGTTTCTTCACCTGAAACAGGACTAGAACATGGCTGGCTACAGCGGACATATTTACATAGACTGAAGGAAAAAGAAATATTATGAATTTATTTTATGAAAAAAAACAAAAAGAAACACTTAAAGCTGGCTTTGTCTTGCAACTCACAAGTCCTCAGAACTCTCAGGGTAGAGGATAGACAGAATTCCTGGCTGTAGTAATGGTTGTAACGAGGCTGGTGGGGTTTGTTTGCTGTTACTTTTCTTTTCTTGTAACTGAGATCTTGTTTCATTCTGCTTCTTTGCTTCAGTTGTGTGTTATTGTTGTTTCAGTTTTGTTGTGTTTTGTAAATATAACAGACTGTGCTAATATGATTCTTATACTGTCACACAAAGACAGAATTAGAAGATTTCGGGTGGTGTTGCTGCTCTTATAATTGTTTTTACATAATTGTTTTTTGTGTGCGTTCATACGGTGTTATTGGTATTTTAATTGCATTGTTCACCTAGCTCTTGATTTCTTTTCAATAGATTGTATTCTCAATCAAATAAAGTAATGTCTAGAACACTTGTTCACCAGAAAACAAATGATCGTAAATTCAATTGCACGAGGATTTTGAAAGCGTACACGAAATGCACTAAAAATGGGGAGAATAGGCACTAACACAAAATAGACAAATATAACGCCAATGACTCGGAAATACACAAAATCTACATTTATGTACTCGATACAAAAAGGAGTTATAACACTATCAAAGTAACATCAATAGAGAAAAAAGGAAAGGAAATTGGGCAAATGGGTTTGTTGATAAAGGGAATGGCGTCTCAAGGAAAGCACAAACACAAAGCTTAAGATTGGCGACTCGAAAACACTCAACTTTTCAGCGTGATTTCTTTATATGATTTTTAAAATAAAATCAAAAATAATATCTGGTACAAAATTAAATATTTACAGAAATTTAATTGGATAGCAAGCTAAAATCTAAAGAGAAGGAAATAAACAACATTGGGATGACAATTTAAACTATCTAAAGAAAGAAGAAACAAAAAACATTTTGTTTTGCAAACAAAGATCTGCAGCTTTTCTAAGACCAATTGTGCTACATTTAAAAAACGTCAATTAAAGGAGCCATATCAGATATTAAATAGGTTTAGAAAAGGGACACGAACGCATATCACAGAGCTGTATGGTAAAACTCCACGCCCGTGAAATCATCATGACAGTATGGCTTTGACGGCCTGTTCAACACTGTTGGAATATTTAGGAGGTGGGACTACCAAATGTTCCGTCCACCTACGATAGGACCAAGCCAAACCTGTGGGGACCTTTGAAAGTGACCTAAGTAAAAGAACAAAACTTTGTCAAGTCAAACTGTTGTCATCCACACAATGGCTCAGCACGATACACCTGAATCCTGACTGGCAAAGGCGTCTTATGACCAAACAAAACAACCCATCCCCCCAAAAAAACAACAACCAAACAACAACGCGATATCTCGTAACAACAAGAGATTGACAAGAAGCAGAATTACACTCTGGTGAGGTTCTCAAAAGGGGGAAAGAGAAAAAAATCAAAATACTCTTACATATAGCACAAAATACGAGGTGATGGGCGCAGGGATATTCAGAAACAACTAAGACAATGAATAGAGAAAAAATAATGATCGCACGCCATTCACTAGGAAGGAAAAAATACGTTTCATAAAAAATACAACATTGATGAAGGTAAGCGAATAGAAAAGAGTCTAGTATCAACTGGTTACCATGAAGTCTGTCGTGGTATTATCATATCCCTTTTGTGAATGACAAATGGGGGCGTAAGAAAAGAGCAACAGGCAAAAAAAAAGGTTATAAAGTATAAGTAAAGTCGATTTAAATAGAAAAAGAAATGAATGAAAAACAGGTAAATATTTCATTTTAAAAAAACCAACATCATTCATCTCTCTGATATTTTAGTTCCTCGATGGTATTATACATTTGAGGATAACGCTGGACGACTTTACATAGCATTGTGTATGTATACATAAGTGTATGTACATGTATACAATACATATCCCTTGATTCGTTTCATGTGTAGCCTCAAGTAGAGAAGGTATCACAAAACATTTTAAGCATTTCCTCTATTATGCTTAAAAATCTGCTCTATTTCAAGAAAAAATCAAGAAGGAAAATATGTCTGAGAAAACGAGAATGTTTCCGTTCTAAAAACAAAACAAACAAAAAACGATTATTATTTGTATAAGTGAAAATAGTTTCTTATCAGAAACATTAATAAAGCGATATTTGTTTATGTGAAAAACGCGAGAAGACGCCATTTTGGCAGGTGTTTTCAACATCATCTGAAGAAATGTTAATATATATTTACTCTTTAATTACAGCTTGAAAAATAGAGAATGAAACGAGGGAGAGCACAGAGGGAGACCG